AAAAAAAATTCCAGTTAAGAATAAAGTTCAGCACAAAACTTATTCTCAGCACTGACTTTTTTTTTTTGCAATGTCAGATATGTGCAGCAGCTTTGAAAAGAAAATCAACACAATTGAAAAATGAAATTCTGAGTGTTGAAAACACCCCTCTAAAAGCATGTTATTCTACTTTTTCTTTTATATTTTGACACACATTGTCGGCCTTCGACATCTCACGCCTCCCAGGACTTGTGCTTGCATCGAATGTTTTTGCAACAAAGCAACAATACTTTATTTTATTTGAGGTTTTTGAGCTTACATGCAGTATTTTTAGGTTGTATTTAAGCTAAAAAACTGCAACCCATGTACGTTATGGAAAGCCACTTAATGACATTTAATATTCATGTTTCATCTCCATGTTCCAATTTTTACAATTATGTTGGTTTGGTTCATTTTCAGATTACTGAAATAAGTGCTTAAGACAGTTGGCCCTGATCTCTGGAGTTTGGGGGAGAAAGTGAGAGGCAGTGAGAGAAGTGTGAGGGTGAGAGAGAGAGAGAGAGAGAGAGAGAGAGAGAGAGAGAGAGAGAGAAAGAAAGTAAATAAAACCAGAGAGGTTCAACAGAGTGGTTTTACTCCAGACTCCCCTCTCATCGCTCTTCCTCATCTTTACCTCCCAACCTGCTGTCCACTCCTCTGTCATGTGTCCAGGCAGAGGTAGTTGTTTTTGAAAACGGTACACGCACACACTCACACACACACAGTGTCCTAATCAAAGCCAGGCTCTGCACATTGTGTCCCAGTTGAGCAGCTATTTTTATCTGCAGCGCTCTAACAGGGATGGAATGGGTCAGATAGGCCAGGCTGACGAATCCATCAAGACCAACAGATAAACAATTGGCCTGCTGGACTGCCAGTACACACACACACGCACACAGACACACACACCTACTGCTTAAGTAAACAACTAAACCAATTCTGTTTCTTTATAATGAATGCAAACTCATACAACGGTTTTCTCCCCCTTATGACTCCTTACTGACCCACACACACACACACACACACACACACACCTGCTACTACACGTAGCTCCATTCCATGATGTTGTTGTGTGTTGTGTTCTCACCGGTGTAATATTGTTCCGATATATGTGTTTACAGTATATCTGTATTCCCTTGTTTGTTCTGCTTCTTTAAAACCTGAATCTGTGCCTCCTACACTCCACACACACACACACACACACACACACACACACACACACACACACAGTCTGTCTTGTCCCGTCCCATTAGCACCATGGAAAGTCTTCAGGCTCACACACACACACACACACACACACACACACACACACACACACACAGACAGAGATGTGGTTAGAGACATATGATTACTGATTTACCGTTGTGAGAGGCAGAAATCCCGTTTCTGGCTTGTTAGTTTGGGATTCAAGTGCTCTGGCTTGGACCCAATTAGTTTCCCTCCCTGCCTCCTTCTCTCTGCAGTTACTTTGTTGTCATGCCTGTGTTGGATAGTTCTATATGTGCAGTATATAACCCCAAAACAACAGCATGTTCTGTACATAAACTGAGATGATCAATTATTTGTCTTGTACATGAATATCAGTGTCTGTAAGAGCTCGTAAAGCTGTTTGCTTTGAGCCCAGCACACAACAGCACCTATGAGGACATTAAACAGCTATAAACCTTTACTGTTGTTTACATAGCGCTGTAAAACATTTACAGAACAGTGAGACTACAAGTTGTACATTTAGTGCCATGTGTGTGTTTCTGTGTCTTCCATTACTCTCAGTATACATAAGCTAAACCACTGAAATGACACAAGCTCTAAAGTTAAACAGCCACCCCCTAGTGTATATGACTACCAATAAATAAGATCAGTAACTGTCATTCGCAAACAACACCTTGTCGTAGCACCCTGTTTGGTGGCAGGGTGAGACCAAAATTGGCCAGGAATTGGCTTTCCTTGTGGGGAACAAATTAGTATGAGTAGGATTATAAAGTGGAGTTTGCATGTTCTCCCAGTGTCAGCGTGGGTCTTCCTCCAACAATCCAAAGACATGCAGGTTAATTGGTGGCTCTAAATTGTCCGTAGGTGTGAATGTGAGTGTGAAAGGTTGTCTGTCTCTATGTGTCAGCCCTGTGATAGTCTGGGGTGTACCCCACTTCTTGCCCAATAGGCCCGTTTCCACGCAAGAAGTTCCTGGTACTATTTGGGGGGCAGGAACTTTACAGGAACATCCTCTCGCTCGGCCCTCTCAACAGCCGTGTCTCCACTGAGAGGGTGGAGTAGGAGGAAGGTTCCTGTAAAGTTACCGGGCTCTGGATGTGACGTAATCATTGCGCGACCATTTTGACCAGGGCAACATGGCACAGAAACAAACAAAGAAGAACAACAACAAAGAAGAAGAAGCAGAAGTAAGAAGAAAGCAGACATAAGACAATTATCAACATGGAAGGAGCTGAGGTGGTTGCTGGGGTTCTGGCGTGTCTCTTCGTTTACATGGCTATGAAGCTATGAACGAGCTAACCCTCGTCTGCTGAATTTTAAAAATGCCGGCTATTTTGACGCTTTCTGTTGACGTCACATCACACCTTGAGTGTATCCAATCAGCACCAAGTAAACCCCAAGCCCCAGCCAGGAGGTTTTTGGGGCCGTTCTGAGTACCTACTCCGAGGCAGGGATTTGTTTAGCCCCTGTAAAAGTTCTGGAACTCTGTCCTTCGGGGGTGGTTTCTGCGGTGGAGACACGCACCAACAGCCCCAGCCCCGTAAAATTACCCTTAAGTTCCTGCGGTGGAAACAGGCCTCATGTCAGGATAAGTGGTTACGGAAAATGAATGACAATTTTAAAGAAATTGGTATTCTGACAGTTGAAGCTGAAGTTTCTAAACTTCTTAAACTACTAACTTTCCAAAACCAACAATCGGCCCTTCATTGCCACTTCATGCAGCGATTGACCAGATGTGTAGAGGTGAAAAAGTACCAGAGATAAAACATTCTTAAAATTTCAAATCTTGATTCTGGCACTCAAAATGATCACCATTATCACTATTATCACAACACTGTTAAAATATGCCGAAAATATTCTCATGATATCATTTTACCAAGTTTTATATTCAATGAAAAATCATCTGTTCACTTGAATCTGTGCAAAATCTAATCTAACAAACCAAACGCTGAATGCTGCGCGTGCATCTGGAAGACTGTTGCTCACTTCGGTTGATGCTGGACTGTATTTACTGTACGTTCTTCAAGCACGGTAACAAAGCACAGTTTTAATGATGATAAAAACTGAATTAGTAATACTAATCATTGGGAATTTTACCGTGGTTTATTGTGAAACTGGTTACCATTTAATCCATAGAAAGTACGCAGGATTTAAACCTCTGAAGCTGTCTGTTTTTGGTTTTCTTTGCGTAACTATTTCTGTCAATTTTCATGCATGCAACCAAGTGCAACATTATGAATGCTTTGGGGAAAGATTGTCTGAAAGTGTGTGCAGTTATCCCCATATTTAAACTGACCGTTGGGTCTTGCCCCTGGGTAGGAGAGTCAGCTTTGCAACCCGCCTTTGGGTGTGGCCATTTGGAAGAGCTACACTTACCAACGCGGTCGAACACAGCCTAACCAGCCTTAAGCATTCCTCCTACATCTTGTAGTATTTAGCCGTGTAGTTATTTTATATAAACATGTATATAAACTGTCAACATCACTCCTTGACACTGGAGAGACTTATGCCGTTGTAGGTCAAAGTTCATTGAAGTGAACAAGGTGGGGTTAATTTATGACTGCATGTGAAAACGTCTCTCCCCTTTTCTGGAGTTTTCTGTCCAAACTCTCAGCTAACACTGATACCTACTCTCTGTAATCTCTCTTTTATCCGTAGATAAAATTATTTGTTAGCATTTAACAACTACAGCTGCCAGGGAACCGTGCCAGAACCTGTCTACTCAGCCCTTTTCACTGTCTGTCTCTCTCCCTACCTGTCTTTCTCCATACATTTCTGTCTTTCCATTAGTCTAAGCCTCCATACTCGCTGTCTTCTCCCTCTGTCTCCCTCTCTCTTATGTGTTGCCAATTTAAAATAGTAACACGCACATTTACAACCACAGCTTTTCTTTGAACATCCATATGTGCTAAACATAAACATGCACACATTCATCTCCCAGCTCAATGCTCTCTATCCACTCACATACACACTTATATACCGCTTATAGGGCCATATGATAGTAATTTGACAATATGGAGGAGCAGGAGGGCTCAGCTGGAGTCTGGATCTGAGTGGATGAGGAGTCTGTGATTCAGTTTACTGGCAGGAAACAGGAAGTCGCCTCTTGATTTTTACCTCTTACCGTCTCATTACTGGATGCACATAAACCTCAGATGGTATATGTTATTGCACTGATCTTTATTTGTTAGAGTTTTTTTTTTTTTAGCCACTACAAAGTAGCAGAACAGGCTGAAAAACAAACACTTCTGACATATTTTTAATTGCATTATATGTTTTTTTTAATAATATTTTGGCAGACAATTGCCTGTGTATTTATTTATTGCCAATATATACTACTTTCTTTGTTCTTTTAGCTTTGTTTTGGTCACAACCTCCTGACAAAAATATGCTAGATATGCCACTTTCTTCACCAGCATGTTACTGAGTTGGTGCATCTGTTGTTTGGTGGTGGGCAGGTTGGTACAGTGTTGTTGTTTTTTGCTAAAAACAGCTGCTAGAAATGGGATTGCAGAGCCCACTGTTCAAGAAAAAAACCTGACATGTGCCATAAAGCCAAAATAATGAGCTGAAAGTGCCTAAAAAAGTCTGTAAAGCTGTGAAGTGTCCTGAACACAATGTATGTCTGTATGTATTTGTATTCACACATACGCTAGTCATAATATTTATGCGTCTGTCATCCTCCCTGTCAGGTTCATGTCCCTGCGCTGAATCACGATGATGAAGATGCAACATGCTGCCTGTGTTTGTAACAGCCATATCTTGTGTTTCAGGTGCGTAACCTTTGCTACATGGTGACGCGGAGGGAGAAAATGAAACACACCCTTTGCGACCTCCAGGAGAAGATTTTCCACCTGCAGATACAACTACTGGAAGAGGACATTGCTGGAGGTAAGAGAGAGAGAGAGAAAACACGACTGTGTCTGTGGTGATTTTTCCTAATTCCAACCACGCCACTGTAAAAACCTGTTACCTTTCACGCACTCTAGCACTACAGCCAAGGCCGCCAACACACACTCTGTCCACCCTCCCAAAAAAAATAAAAAGTACAATTTGGAAAGCTCAAGTGCAGAACGGTTACATCCAACCCCTCGTTGACTGAGTGTGGTGGGTGGACAGTTTTTGAAAATGGCCTGTCATCATTTTTGCACAGTAGGCCACACTTGACACCTGCACGGCAAAGAACACTGGAATAATAGTTCAGCCAGATATTGTGACACACACCATCCACATAAATGGAGCTCGATTTCCTATCCACTCTGCACAGATGACTGACCTCGGTGCATTTCATCCAGCTGCTCTGTGACGGAGAACAAGAAGGACGAAGCTGGCAGGTTGAGTTGATGCTGCTGTGTCGGCTAAATATCTGCTCAAAAAGAAATTTATAATCTTAGTATCCATTTTTATATCACTTGTCTTAGTTGAAATTTGTCTTTTACATGTCTACTTTATGTTAGACCCATACAGTTTTTGGCACACAATGTGCACTTTTTATCAGGTAATATTTTTTACATATTTTTGACTAGGAAAAACCTGACACACAGTGCTGAGCTGCATCTAAAATTAATCTTCAGGTTTCCAGCTTTCAGGTGGTATATGCTACTTCTATGTAGCCTATACTGTTGACCTGCTATCTCCCCCAAAATATCCCCTGCCCCCCCTAAAAAAAGACAAAAATGGGTCTCCAGTATGCGGGTCTTGGAGGGTTAATTGCATGCTGCTATTTTGTCTCTTTGACCACACTGTTATAGCAGTGCAGCACTGATTTAAAATAAATAAATAAATAAAAATCGAGATAATAAAGTATATTTCTCTGCATTAATTTGATTGTCAATCAAAACACTCTTGTACTCAAAGCTGTTTTGGAAAGGCAAAATAATGGAATTTTAAACCTGCGATTAATCACAGTAAACTGTTGACATTCAGCAATTAATCTTGATTAAAAAATTAATCGTTTAACAGCCCTAGTAATAAGTAAAACATTATTTGTATATGTAGCATCTTCCTAACAGTGTTAGGGTTATTACAATACCAGAATTTTAAATTTTGATGCAATAGTGAAGGAAAAAAAAGATAATCTTTTAATACCATGGCAGGATGAAAATAACATCCTTGGCATACAAAATAGGATTATTTCTTTCCTCTGTCTTTTAATAACAACCTGCACATAGTGCATGTACAAAAAAGTCACTGACAACACGCCTCTAGTCACATGGATTAGGTCCTTCCCTGTTGTTTCATCTGTGCCTTGGTTGAAAATGTTATTGGATGTTGCCCACGTACAGTTTCACATGGTGTGTGTTTGGGACACAGGTCATAGGAAATTGCAGATTAAATAGTCAACTGAACCCATTAAAAAGAGCAATGTATTCAGAGTTTTTGAAAAACGTGGGACAAACAGAATGACTGACTGACTGACAGAATGACAGACTGACAGTTTCTGTGATTATGTACAGCATACCATACCATGACTTAGTCATACCAAAAATTTGGAGAAAAAAAAACAAAACAGTGGTCCACAGGGGGAGCCACAGCGATCGGTCACATTTTAGCCATTTTTAAGCATTTTTCTGTTGTTATAGCGCCACCCAGTTGCCAATTAGAGTTAAATTTCTCCAGTCACCTTGAGGCGTCCTGTTCTACATATCTACCAAGTTTAGTAAAAATCCATATGGCGGTTAGGCCTAGATAACAAATTAGCTCTCTAGCGCCCCCATTTTGTTTGATGGGGTTAATAATGGAGGGGTCCCCTCAGATTATGTGTGGTCATATGACTACAAAGTTGCGTGGTGGTGGGTGAAACCCTTGAGATGTTATACACCTTTATGTGATGAGCCACGCCCTCCGCAGTATTTATTGCCTTATAGAAGCTCAGTTTTAGTAAGTTTTCCAACTTTTGCCAAGAGGGAACTTTAGATATTGGTCCCTAGATTATGTTCACCCAGTTTCATGCAGATCGCTCAAACTTCCTAGGAAGAGATCCATTTGAAGTGTTTTTCAAAAAATTCAAAATGGTGGACAATCAATATAACCGGAAGTTATGGGTTCTTGAGGCAGATTTGTTCCTCATGAGGAGAGGCATCTCTGTGCAAAGTTTCATGTCTCCATGACATACGGGGCATGAGATATGCCCATTCAAAGTTTGCAATTTCAATTGGTTGCTATAGCGCCCCCCTTTGGCCAATTGATGTAATATTGCTTCATTCATATCCTCCCATGACCCTCTACCACTGTGGCAAATTTCACATGGATTGACCAAGTCAGTGAGGAGAAAAACGTGGAAAAGACACACAGACAGAGTTTTCGTCATTATATAGTAAGATATATAGTTTTAGTAATTTCAGTACTTTCAAATGTATACTTGATGGAGAACGTATCCTTTAAAACCCATGGTATTGAGACAGTTTTGAAGTATTGGTACTTTTGATAACCTTAACCAGCATCACAAATTGTTTGTAAGATAAAAGATGTACATATTTATTGAAACAACTGTACACAGCTGAGATTAAACAGGGGCAAAAAGACAGTCAGTGATGCCTCAACTTAAATGATATGTAGACAGTGAGATAGCTTTTCAAATGGGATTTAAATAAAGTTACTGTGATAACTGATAGTTGTCCATTGGTTTGACCAATCCAGAGCCTTGGGACTCCTCACCTTTTGACACCAATCTAGAATTGGTACATCTACTGTAGTCAGACTTCATCTGAAGCCAGGCTCTGGTGTACATGGGGACATGGGGTCAGTGGCTCAGCAGTATTACCAGAGGCTCTTAAAGTTAAGAACAAAATCTTAAAATCAATACTAAAACAGATTGTGAGCCAGTGTAGAGCATCAAAAGCTGGTGCGATGAAAAATAGTTATCGGTTCATTTTATTTTGGTACTCAGACCTTCAACGCCTAAAATAGACAAACAGCGCACACATATATGCTTTATGCTGTAGACTCTCACCCAGGAAAAAGCCTCCAATCAGAGGTCTCCAGCTACACAAATGCAAACAAATTAAGGTCAATGAGTACTTCAAATATGAAGACAAATGTAATAGTAAGCTCCTTCAATTGTAAACAAATGTAGAAGATCACACAATGTAGCCTGTAGTCTTTAAAAAGTAGAAAAAAAACACTAGCAGCAATCTTAACATGAGAGAAAAGTCAACGATACTAATAATGAAATTCCTGGACTCTAGAAGAGATAAAAGCTCTAACAGCTTCCTTGAGGTCGTCAGTAGAAAGGAAGAAGCTTATCTTAGAGATATATATCAGCTGAATAAAGTGAGAGTGAACAACCTTCTCATCTTGATCATTAAATAAAGGTTCAAGCTGAATAAAACACAGATTTTAAGTTTATCAGTTTCTCATTGGCTACCAGACTTCTGAGCTGTTGTTGTTATGGTGATGATGGTGAACCCTGGTTACACAGATGATGGTATAGTGTAGATGTCATGGGATGATAGTGACCTGTATTTGCCTTTGGATAATGTTTAAGGAGCCCTATTAGTTCTTGTAGTCGTGACCTGCAGCTGGCATGGCGATGACGGTGAGAGCTTGTTGTCATGGTAATGCCAGTTACGTCTCGCTGGCATGGTAATGATAGTGAACTCTTGTCAGCTTGCCCCTGTGGCTGTGTGTGTGTGTGTGTGTGTGTGTGTGTGTGTGTGTGGTTAGAATGCTCAATTTGCAGCGCTCATCATTCCCCGAGGTAGGCTGCATACACACACACACACACACACACACACACACATCTATGCACTCCGCTAAATCTTACAAACACTTTCACTCTCTCTCTAACTCCGTCTGTGTCCCTCACTACCACACACACACACACACACACACACACACACACACACACACATGCAGAGCAGAGCTGCTGACTCAGCAGATTGCTGCCATCAGGTACCGGGAGCTGTGCTGCTGGCACTAAACAGCCATATCTATTCTCACTGCCACAGGAGTTAGATTAGAGAGGATAGTTTGTGTGTGTGTGTGTGTGTGTGTGTGTGTGAGTGAGAGAGAGAGAGAGAGAGAGAGAGAGCACCAGAGAGTGAAGGATGAGGTTGTCGGCTATAATGATTTGTAGTGTCCCTCACCTTGTATCTACCTCTTTTCTCTGCCTCTTTTATCTTTCTCTCTTATTTTCCACTCTCCATTTCTCATCAGCCTCCTCTTTAATTTATTTTCCCCTCCATCTGTTTTCTTTCTTTTTCTCTCATTTGTGGTGTCCTCTTTCTCTCTCCTCCTCTCTCCTCTCTCCTTCAGTCAGCCCAGCAGTTGTCATCAGTTTGTTCTCCTTTTGTCCTTCTGGCCATGCAAACTGATTTTGTGACACTGGCAGAAACTGAAAACTTGGACAAAAGTTACAGTGTTGCAGACAGCACTACAACCAAATTGTGTTTAGATAGTTTTATTGGTCAAAGCAGGGTGGGAAGGCTGTACATGCTACATAAAATATAACAACATATCCTCATACAGAATGGGTCACTTGCCAAGTTTAAAATATTCTGATACCTGTATCAGTACCAGTACCCTTAAAGTGATACTAATACCAAAAGAGTGCTTAATTTGATAACCAGAATAGAACCAGAATAGAGTAGCGTGTAGTATAGCTATACTTTCAAATGTTTCGGTGGCATCTTGGCACACTGAACTGCACCAAAAACACCCCGCTTGACTTCACCACACCACAGACTGTATGGGTTGTAGCTGCTGCTGCTGCAGGAGTGTGAGCTCCATGCTGGGGACAGTCGTGAAAGTTATTTCAGCTACATGCACACAGTGACAGGGATAACGGCCTATTTCCACCAGATGCGTGTTGGTTGCGTCTGCGCTCCGGCACGGCAGCAGAGCCGATAGGATTCAATTCTAGTCAATGTGTGTGTTTCCACCGGCTGCGG